AAGAATTATAAACCAGATGTTAAGTTAGATTCCAATGCATTGGAGGGGTTAAAGCATAAAGTAGATTACACACAAAATTTCGATTCCTTTAATACATCACAAGACGACGACAAATTTTATTCCAACAATGAGGAACCTATGAATCTATCATTCTTGAAGAAAATTAAAAAACTAGATGTAGTCTATGGTCCACACAAAGATAACAATGGAGAATGGAGATTTGGGGACCAACCACTCAAAATAAGCAATGAAAAGATTATGATTGGAAATAAAAATTGGGCATTAACACCCGGTTTGTTTGAACTGTTGTTTTATCAAGACCCCAAGAACTATGATCATACAGAACTCGATATTTACAAAACAATATTATTAGACACAAATGCGCATAAAATAAACTATGAATCTAATGGACGAACAAAGTCCAACAGGGGACAAAAATATAAGAAAATAATAAAAAATATAATAGAGGATACTCACAGCGGCAAAGGCTTACTGACAATAAATCCTGGTAAACCCAACTATATATACTGGGACGATCCCAACGAATTGATAGAACGATTAAAGCTGTTGTTGGCATCACAACAAGCCGGAAACAATAACCATACTAATGAAATTGTTTCTATTATCGAGGAACTGCGAGAAGGAAATATAATATATTAAATAATACTCTCAAGGAGCATACAACATATGACTGTTGACAAGTTTGGACATCATTACAATCAAAAAAATCAATCAATAGCAGTGAGAGAAAATGTTTCGAGATTATTGGGAGTCAATATTGATGAAGATAACAACCTTAACGTGCAAAATAAAAAGATTAGGAATGTTGCATCTCCAGCAGAAGGAGCGGATGCGGTCAACCAAGCATACGTACATACGCAAATCAAGCACATTCAAGAAATTTTAAAGAAAAAATTCATTCAAGAGTGCACCTTCCTAAGAGAAGAAATATCACAACTCAAACGTTCACAAAACGAAATATTTAAAGCCTTATCGCAAGCTCCATTCAACTCACCAGCTTTAATATATCATACCGAATAAAACAATGGAAAAGCGGGGTTTGGTAAATGAACTTCATCATCAAGCACGAAAAAACTTTCCTAGACGAAGGGTTATTACAAAGGGTATTGATGATCTCTGGCAAGCAGATTTAGTTGAAATGGGCAGTTACTCAAAAGCAAACAAGGGGTTCCGATTTTTGTTAACTGTCATCGATACATTTTCGAAATTCGCATGGTGTGAAGCCCTTAAAACAAAAACGGCAACGGATGTTTCTATGGCTTTTGAAAAAATCTTACAAAGAGGAAGAATTCCAAAAAATTTGCAAACCGATGATGGAAAAGAATTTTTCAACACAGATTTTAAAAAACTAATGCAGAAATATTCCATAAACCACTACTCCACATATAGTGTATTGAAGGCCTCAATTGTTGAGCGTTTTAATAGAACTTTGAAGTCGCTAATGTGGAAGGAGTTCAGTTATAATGGGAATTATCTATGGATTGACGTTTATAGAGAATTGGTTAAACAATACAATAAAACACCTCATCGAACAATAAAAATGGCCCCTATTCAAGTAAATTCATCGAATGAGAAGGCATTGTTGCAATCTGCTTATAACCACTTAAAAATTTTTAGGAGACAAAACTTTCGTGTGGGTGATCATGTACGCATTAGCAAATATAAACATCAATTTGAAAAGGGATACACGCCAAATTGGACTACGGAAATATTCAAGATAAGAACAATAAGAATAACAAACCCCGCTACTTATTTATTAGAAGACTATGAAGGAAATCCCATCCAAGGATGTTTCTACAAAGAAGAACTTTTACCCACAAAATATCCCAACACGTATTTAGTTGAGAAAATTTTAAAAACAAAAGGTAATAAAGTCTTGGTTAAGTGGCTGGGATTCTCAGACAAACATAATTCATGGATAGATAAGAATCATATCATATAATCTTAATATGTAGATATACAATATACAAGCATATATTTAAATAAATAAAAACCCATATATACGTATGCATATTTTGTGTTTCAATTATTACGACAAAGAATTTTGCAATGTCAAGAACGTTTACTGTGTCCGGTAAATCTCCAATTCTACATTCAACATATTTACCCCCAATTGAATTGGGAAATAGTAGTTATGAGTGTTGCCTAATAGATTTCCAATCATACAATTCAATACCCAATGTGGATAATGATAACAATCTCTTTCACATTGGAGACAATATTATAAAAATACCTATAGGATCCTATGAATTGCAAGATATTGCGAATTACTTGGAAACGGAATATAAAACTATCCACGAGAATAGATCCATTGAAATTAAGGCGAATAATAATACGCTAAAAGTAGAAATCATGTCTTCTCATGATCCTATTTACTTTGATAAAGAAAAATCTATAGGCAAGCTTTTTGGTTTTACCGAAAAAATCTTAGAATCTGGGAAAAAACATACTTCAAACCTTCAAGTCGACATTTTAAAGGTTAATGCCATACAAATACACTGCAATATTGTAACTGGATCATTCATGAATGGGTCGCCAACGCATATTCTACATGAATTTGCTCTTAATGTTCCTCCGGGATATAAATTGGTAGAGAGGCCAATGAATCTCATTTATTTACCAGTGAACGTCAAAGAAATCGGTCGTCTGGAGATAAAGATAGTAGATCAAGAAGGTCGCTTTATAAATTTTAGAGAGGAAGAAATCACGCTACGTATTCATATAAGACCAATGCAATCATGATTATCTACAATAAATACAATCATAAACAAATACCAAGACACATTCAACACAAAGTTGTCAAACCGACAAGACCTACAATTTCAAAGGAAAATAAAGAGTTTTTAAAACTTATTAAGCTTAAAGTCAAACCAAATGTCTGAAATACTTAACATTAATGAGCGTCCATTCTCGGATGAGAATATTGTAAAGAGAGACTACCACAGCTATGTTCCATATATTCAATCATTTAAAAATAATGATGAAATTCGGATAAGTATACAAAATCAGGATCTTTACATACTTCCATCGGAGAGTTATCTATTCATTGAAGGAAATTTGAAAAATAGCAAGGGAGAAGTATCGCAAAATGCAAGACTGAGAAATAATTGTGTGGGATACATGTTTGATGAAATTCGCTATGAACTAAATGGTGTTGAAATTGATCGTACTCGTTATCTAGGAATAACTACAGAAATTAAAAATTGGATTTCTCTAAGCGAATCCGAAAGTAAGGTTATGAGCAAAGCGGGATGGAAAGCTGATAATGATTTATCAGTAGGATACTTTAATTTTTGTGTACCCTTAAACCGTCTACTAGGGTTCGCAGAGGACTTTGATAAAGTAATTTGCAACAGCAAGCATGACTTGATTCTTTTGCGTAGTGCCAACGATAAAAATGTGTGTTATTCAACCATGGATACGGAGGAAATTAAACTCACCATAACAAATGTTGTATGGAAAGTACAACACATTCAATTATCAGACTATAGAAAAATCAGCTTCTTGAAAACTATTAAGGATGGAAAAGCGTTGCCTTTAGCATTCCGCAGCTGGGACTGCTACTTTAATCCAACTTTTGCTGGTGGAAGACAACACAGTTGGAGTGTTAAATTGTCTGTCAATCATGAAAGACCACGATATGTTGCTTTGATATTTGAAAAAGACAACAAGCTGGAACATTGCGAACTTAAAAACATCAAAGTTCACTTGAACTCTGAAACCTATCCTTACGATGATTTGAATGTAAAGTTCGAAGAAAATGGCTATGCAGTACTATATGACATGTATACAAAGTTTCAACAATCATATTACATGAGGGAGCCACAACCACTTCTTACATATGCAAGTTTTAAAGACAAGCCCATCGCCGTTATTGACATTAGCAATCAAAACGAAGCTGTTAAGAATGGACCAATCGATTTAAAAATCCAATTTGAAACCAATAAACCAATTCCACAAAACACTTCTGCGTACTGTTTAATTATACATGATCGTCTGGTCGAGTACGTTCCATTAACAGGAATTGTACGAAAAGTAGTATAATCTATTTTATACTCACCTTTGCAAGAATATTTCAATAAAACGCAATTTACATAAATTTATAAACAAAAATATTTTGTTTTATTTTATAATAAGAATAGTTAAAGACTAGTTAAAATATAATACACTTATATTTACTTAAAAATTAAACATTTTGTGTTGCGAGAAAATATTAATATGATGACATTTGTAGTGAATAAAGACAATTAAATTAATATTATTACTATGCTCTTTTATCTGTATATTGAAACTTAAATCATAATTAAATTTATATTTTAATCCAAGTCCATTGAGACAGATTCATTTGAGTTATTTACATTTGTTTCATGAAGGTTATTTAATCTATAGTGGCCCCAAGCATAGGTGTGAATACCATCCTCTAGAATAAATCGTTTATCATCTTGATGGCTTAGCGATATTTTAGTAATTTTGTCTGTATATATTGTATGCTGCCTTGACCTAAACGAAAACATGGTACCGTAAAAAACCTTTTTGTTATAAAGACATTCTCGATATTTATCTATAGTATACTTTTTTAGGACCGACTTTTTAACTCCCTTAGATTTTTTTAATTCTTCGCTATCAACTACATTGATGGCATACATTTTAGGACGAAGGCCTACAAATTCAACCATTGTTTTTCCGTCATTCTCATCTTTCATCATGCCAAGTTTTTTCTTATTAATTAGAGGAAGTTTATATTTATTTTCTTTTGAAAACCCTGAGGTGTCAAATCTAGCCAATATTTCATCTAAAGATAATTCGGAATACAAATTCCGTCCGTAAAATGTTAATATGAACGAATCTGTATCCATATAATTTAGAATAAAATCCTCACCAAATTTCACTTTTAGAAAATCATACAGAAAATCATACATCACCCACTTTGATAAATCTAATATGCAGAACCCTAAGTACAATGGTCTATCATATTTTACTCTGACATTCCTAATTTGAATAGCAACCATATTTTCGGAGAATATCGAAAGGCTGTGAAAATTTGGCTTCGAGATTAATTTACTAGCAACATTCCTTCTTCTTTGGTTTGCCTCATCTACCCACATTGTCACAATTTTCACAGTTTTTCTTTTGTCGATATTCTCCATTGTCTTACCGAATGAAGAGTTATTCAATAATTTAAAAAAATCTTTTTCAAAGGCATTTTCAGCCTTTTCCCTATGTTCATTATTCTTCAGTATGTAAGGAGCTAACCAAGCGCTTTGTGTGAAAGCCAAAACTCTATGGACTTTCTTAAGAATTAGTCCATGTTTCAGAGATTGCTTAAGTAATTTGTAGTGTATGGTGTATGATGTTTTGTCAGTAAAATCTGCAATCAGTTTTTCAGTTTTTGAGCCTTCAACACACTTTTTCTCCGCCAAAAAAGGTAAATCGTTATGTTTGTCGTGAAGGTGCGGTGGATATTCAATATCAACCTCTAAAATAAAACCAGTAGGAGCGTTGTCAGGAATAGATAATATTACAGCTGGATCATTGAATTTCTCCATTTCATAACCCTCCACCCATCTAAAATCTTTTTCAGGGAGACACTCAGTCATAACTGTACCATATAAATTATTTACATCCAAATAATAGATATTTACCTCTGGTTTGGCACTATTATAATTGGGAGCATCTTCATTATTTGCTACCGAGTGTCTGTTTGAGCACTGGGTAAGCCCTCCCCGAATACCATTTTTGCAGAAATTGTACATGTCTATATCTCTGAGTAGCTCAAGTTCGACTTTAGTACATAGTAGCATTGCATCCCAAGATAGAGATGGTGCTGTGAGATATTGACAAGGGTCCAGTTCGTGAATTCGCATACATAAGCTCCTGAAATTTTCAAATACGTCTGCTAAAAGCAAGACATCAGCTTTTAAGTACAAATCCATGTAGTCTTGCATAGTTTGACATCGAAAATGTGACCAAACATTTGTTGCATGCCTATAATCGTCTGACGAGCATTCAGTATCGGTCAACTTATTATAAAATTGGTCTATAGGGGGAAGTTGTTTCTCCTTCAATTTTTCAAATGATGACATATATTCGTAGGGAAATACTCCTTTCCTAGTCATAAGTTCAAATGATTCATCATCAGGAAAATGAGATCTGACAGCAACAAAAGAATCTCGAGATAAATTCCTTGCTAATTTATCCAAACTAGTAGGCATAAATCGAAAACTATCTAAGAAACGATGCTCTAATCTATTCATTTTCTTTTTCTTCTCTTTTTTGCCCTCACTTTCCTCTTCTTGCTGGAATTCCTCATCATCTTCCTCACTCGAATCTTCTTCTTCTCCTACAACAACTGTACTTTTTAAAGAACTAGAGTCGGTTGACTCGTTATCCATATTAATGAAATAAGACATTGAAATATATTTTTCTTTGTTTTGAGGTATGACTCTTATTTCACCTCCAAATTCAACTAACTCTTTAAAGAAGAGGTGACAGTCGTACGAAGAAAAATTGTGGAAATATATTGGAATAAATTTAGGTAGATGATATTGCAGATTGCAATGGTTATGTACCGCACCTCGATATTGCCCCGTTAAGTGACAATGATCTTTCACCCTATCGTTACCTAAAATGTCGCCACATATACGACAATTGATATCCCTAAGAAAGGCTGTCTCTTCTTCGGGGGTTAGAGTATTCATAGGTTTCGTTTTGGTTAGGTAACTATCATACAAAAATTTACAATCCTGAATTAGTTCTTTCAGAAAAACATTTGCTGCGTCGGGACCACTATATATAAATAACTTATTTAAATTTTCATTAAAACTACATTTAATAAAATAACTAAAAGCACATGGAATATGCTTCTTTACCTTTTCCGTTTTTTTACTCGCCCCATTGTTCTCATCTTCCTGCACGTCTTCCAGTACACTTTCGGAGTCAGCATAAATAACGAAAGGCACCTTATCCTTTTTCTTGTGATTGACGAACTTTAGTACGGCTTCTTTTTTGTTCGGCAGGGCACAGACTACTTTTCCACACTGCTTTTTGTGAGTCATACATTTATTTTCATCGTGGAAACATTGCAGGCATCCAAAACAAAAGTAACCTTTCTCCTTATGACTTGTGAATTGAGACCGCATAAGACTGAAAAAAAAAGAACAAATACATGATTATTATGATATGGTTTTGATTGATAAGTTTTGTTTATAATTACCAAGACATATCCATAACCAAAATGTAATGGAAATTTTCTTCGTTGTGCAGCAATATTAAATTAATGTGATTGCTTTTCGTCTCCTTTGTTAAGTAATATGGACCAACGACCGACTTGTTTTCATAACCGAAAACATTTACGCTAATCTCTGGGTTGTTCATTTCAAATTTTTTTATATATTTAAGACCCAATGGGAAATTTAATTGTTCGAAATTTAGCGATATTCCAGACTGCAGAATAATGACATCTTGGTGTATGTCTACGTTATATGAAGAGGTTATACTCGGATCTCCATATGCAGTTTCCCCCAATGCAACAACCATACACCACTTAAAACAAAAGTCATCATAGTTTTTGATGTTAAGGCACGCACCCTTCTTGTTGCTTAATGATTTCGGAGTTGGAATATAATGTGAGCCACGTGTTAAGTTGGCTCTCAACACATTTATGTCAAGTTTTAAAAGTTTCTCCAGGGCCCAATTAGAGCCTCTTTCTTGGAACTCTTCTGATTTAGCTATAATTTCCACACAGTGGTTGAAAACGACCTCTTCCAAATCATCTCCCAGGGTTAATAGCGTTGTTTTTGAAATATGATTAAATATATTTTCAATAGTTAACTCTTTGGAAGTTGAAGGTCCATCTTTTTCATTGTTTGGTTTCACATACAGTCCTTGGAGTTCCATATTAAATTTTATGAGCGTTTTACCGTTTAACTCATTTTTCAAGGTTTTAATTATTAATTCTTTTGAAGCATTAAGAAAATCGATCGGGTACAAAATGTCTTTATTGTTTTGTATCTCATAGCTGAGTATATTTTTGTTAAATGCACTTTTAACAATTTTTATGTCAGAATCCAGATTTTTTCTCACGGTGGATCGATGTTCTTCGCTACGAACGTGTGATCGTATATTATTCACAATTTTATCACAATCACCACAAAACTTTTCCACCTTCACAGCTGATTTATTTTCATGCTGCTGCTTTAGTTTTTCTTGTTGTTGATCTCGATTTTGTTTCATTACATGCTCATCTCCATGATGGTTCTCTAAGTGCAATTCTAAATCGTTTACACTTTCACATAAAACATCACAAAACATACAATGCTTTTTCATATGTTTCACAAATTCATTTTTTTCCTTGTAATAAAGGCTGCATGACCAACAAATTTTTTGAGACATTATAAAAACTTTTTTAAGAATATTAAGAAACGATGCTTATTAATCTGTGACTTGTTGAGTACTGAAATTTCTTCCAATCCAATCAATACATTATTGACTACATTTTGTAAACAAATAGAAATTCTGTGATTGAAGCAGAATTTGTCATGAAACTCTGCAACAACGCTTCCCCCCAAATTCTCATATCCATTTCACAGAAATCCAATTGTTAGTTAATGTAAACAATGGTGTTTCCTTCTTCAAATCCCTTCAATCTTCAATACCGAATTGATGCAGGGTTTGTCATGAAACTCTTTCAGTTTCAATTCTCTCAAATTGCTACATAATGTAAACAAATTCTTCATCGACAAAACTATCAAAAAGCGATCGATATAATGTATCAAAATGCCTGTCCACACAAGAAGAATTTGCTTTGATTGGCTACAGCAGCATTTTTTTAGTGTGTATATGCTACAACATTAATTGGTGGTTAGATGTCGCCTATATCGTTTCGAGGGAAATGACTGGAGAGCCATCTGGACAAAATAATAGAACACACATCTTCTTGTTGACTATGATACTAACCAAATTTGTCTCTGCTATATTCACTTCTCATATGGTGGATCTCTCTAGCCCCATTCGATATGATCATATTTCAATAGTTTTGGAGTGTGTCTATGCTACAACATAATTTATGGATAGTATGGATGGAACTCACCGTTAGATGTCGCCTATATCGTTTCGATGGGAATAACTGAACATTTTTGAGTCGCTAAAATTATAGACAAATTAAAACAAGTACAACGAAAAGTTAGTTTTGTCTTTTTATCTCATCATGTTTTGCATAGCCAACATGCTGATTTTCGTGTTCAACCCACTCGACTTCGTTATCGTTTTTCTTAAAACCCCTGAAATATCAATAATTGCAGCATATTTGTCAATTGAAACTCTTCTATAATATATCACATTTATTGAAGTCGATTTCTTGAAATATATGTTTTCAAATAAATTAATAAGCACATTTGACTGCAGTAATCAACATGTTGACTATATAAAAGCATTCTGAGAGCCATCTAGATAAAATGATTTTCTTCGATACTTACCTCTTACTTATATTCACTTCTCACATGGTGAATCTCTTTAGTCCCACTCGATATGATCATAATACATTTTTTTTTTTTCGGAGGGTGTCTCTGCTAGTGGTGAATATTAAAACTTGAAATTTCACCATCCCATACACAGTTTTGGATTGTGTCTGCGCTAAACTTAGCGCCATCTAGTAGTTCATATTAAAACTAGCAACACCAACGCCAACAGCCCCAATAAAATTTGACGTGGTACAATTCAAAAGACAACATCCCCAATATAATTTGCCGTGGTACAATTCAAACGACAACATCCCCAATATAATTCACCGTGGTACATTTCAAAAGACAACATCCCCAATATATTTCACCGTGGTACATTTCAAAAGACAACATCCCCAATATATTTCACCGTGCTGAATTTCCCCCAATCAACATCCCCAATAGAATTTGCCGTGGTACAATTCCCAAGACAACATCCCCATTAAAATTCACCGTGGTGAATTTACCCAAATCAACATCCCCAATAGAATTTGCCGTGATAAATCGTGGTGAATTCCCAACATCCCCATAAGCACACTACTCAAGACAAGAAAAGAAATATAAAGCTGTTACTTACATCCCGGGATTCTCAGAAAGACTTGGTAAATCAAACATCTACAATAAGGACCACTATCAATTAGCGTTTAAATCTCGTAATAATGTCGACAGTCTGTTTAGTAAAACAAAATCTAAAATTAAGAATGAGGATAAGTGCAATGTAGTTTATAGGATAACATGTAATGGGGACGACGCTGACGTATGCCAAAAGTCATATGTCGGCACGACAAAGACGAAATTAAAAACTAGACTTTCCGGACATAAATCGGATCAAAAAAGTGACAAGCCTCTCGAACAGAAGACTGCTTTAGCTGCCCATTGCACATTGACAGGACATAAACCCGACCTTAAAACCGTCGACATATTAGCACAAGAAAATAATTACAAAAGACGATTTACATTGGAAATGTTACATATTATAAGTTTACCAAATGACAAACGAATTAATTATAAAACCGATACAGACCATTGTGCTCACATTTACAGAAGCCTAGTTCATAAACACCGACGAAAGAAAACTTAGTTTGATAGTGACATTTAAACTCAATAGACGAGCTTTTTACTTTAAAAATGTATGTTATTTATTGTGTTATATATTGTTAAAATCAGTTTGTAATTTGTGTTTTTTGTAAAACAGATCCCTGAAGATGATTTCCGGAGGAAATCGAAATATTGGATGAATAAAAAAGGAAAAATTTAAAAATATTTCTTAAGAACTAGATATGATAATATGACTTAACATAAATTATCATTAATTGTAAATGAGAGAGAGAGAGAGAGAGAACTGTACACATGCATATGCACCATGCCACCATAAACCTTAGAGGGAGGTCATACACACGCATAGCTATCTCACATGTGGCAAGCAAACATGCTGCACTTGCTTATCAGTCTGAGTAAAGATTACATCCCATAATCTAACTCCACCATAACACATGCAGCAATTGAAAATTCTGTATTATTTATTTCTAACTCGAAGGTCTGCTCACCACATTTTCTTATCTTATTTAATGTGGACTGTATTAAGAAGATCCCTTTTTAACAAATCCCTCTACACTGGTAGCCCCGCTATTCTCTTTTATTATAAAAACATGTTCACTTATCCGTGAACACTCCATATAACGGTACCACCCGATATTGGTTATTTTGATGATTTTAGAGACATTATTTACCGAAATTATTTCAAATTTGGTATTTGAAGTTCGTAATGGATACTACCAGAAAATGAACGATGTAGGTCCACGTCTTCGTATAATCCCAATATAACGGTACATCCCGATATTGGTTATTTTATTTTAGAGACATTATTTACCGCAACTATTTTAAATTTAGTATTTGAAGTTCGTAATGAAAACTACATCCTATGACAGAAAATTGTCTGTGTAGGTCCACGTCTTCGCATAGTCCCCATATAACGGTAACCCCGATATTCGGTATTTTGATGATTTTAGCTATATTATTTACCGGAACTATTTCAAATTTGGTATTTGAATTTCATAGTGAATACTACTGCCTATGTTGGAAAATTGCCTGTGCAGGTCCACGTCTTCGAATATCCCCCATATAACGGAACACCCCCCCCCCCCCCCCCCTATATTCGGTATTTTGATGACTTTAGCGACATTATTCAACGGGATTCTTTCAAATTAGGTATTTGATGTTCGTAGTGGATACTACAACCTATGACAGAAAATTGTTTTTGCTTGTTCACACCTTCGTATATCCCCAATATAACGGTACCTCCCTATATTCGGAATTTTGATGATTTTAGCGACATTATTCACTGAATTTTTTTATTCAAGTTTCGCAATTGAATATTGTAATGGTTTATGACAAAAGTTGCCTGTGCAGGTCCATGTCATCGTATAGACCCAAATATAACGGCTACATTTGGTATTTTAAAGATTTCAACAGAATTTTTAACGGATTTTATTTTTTTGAAAATTGCCAAAATCGTTCCTAAGGTTGGAGGGTATTCAAAGAATGGCCCGGCCGAAGTTACTGCTTTTTTACTTGTTATATATTATTTGAGTCCATATTTATCATGTAAGTTGGTTTTCTCCACAGCTTAACGCCATTTTTCGCTATATCGGAATAACATATTTCTGTAAATTTACTAATGCAATGCCGGTCATCTATTGCCTGATCGAGACATTAAAAGACAATAGGCATTTTGTTCAATCTTTATAATTTTATGTCTTTGGAAAAAAATTTCAGCCTCGGGTTCGGTTCAGCTCTTATGAAGTAACTTTGCCCGATTTGGAAGACTTACACAAGGAAACCATTCTCATTAAGATCAGGATACAACCTAAACATTTATCCACCAACTTGGGATGTATTATGTGGAATATATCAGTATTTTAGAAGTTTATGACGTTTTATACTTTTTCTACGTTTTATACTTTTTCTACGTTCTATTCATGTATATTACGTTTACAACTTTTCGACAGTCGAAAACCTAAAAAACTGTCAAACAGACCATCTCTGACTATGACAGTTCCATCTATACAGATGAATCTCTTTCTTTCTCTTTCACACAACCTTCTCAAACGTATCCGACCTTGCATTCATAGTATCAGGATAAGAATGACAAAACAATATTTTTTTTACATGTCTGCAAAGACAGAATTTTTAACAAAATAAAGCCATAAAGGTTACACACAAAAGAAATACATAAATGCATATAAAATGTATCAAATTTATGGCTGTTTACAATGCAGACAAAACCATTAAAATTGCGGATCGTAAAGAGAACATTGCATATTTTTCGAAAACAAAAAAATCACACACACACACATACATAAAAACCACAATGGCATGTAAAGAAACAATTTAATATGTCGGCAAATATTACAATTAAGATATGATTTTGTCATAAAATATTTTTTGATTTGTTTAAATTTAGGTAAAGTATGGCTCGGTGTTAGCGCCTATGCTATATTGGTTAAATTCAAAGCTATTTCGAGAAAATATATTGCTCCCCATGAGAAAAAATAATTTTGCCCACGACAAAATTACAGTATCAGAGAGGGTTCATTTGGGCCATAATGACCCTTCCCTACTTATACCCTACATCACATAGTGATAAGGGTATTATGTCTTTGTGCATTTGCATTTTATTCGGTCGGATGTACCGAAATTCATATGCGGAACTTATATCCAAATCGGAACCGATCTTGATACAATTTGGCAGAGATTTTCCCGAACTCTATAAGATATCTGGTACCAAATATCATTGTTGTCGAATGTATATTACGCATGATTTGAGAGACTTAAACACCAAATCGGATGAAACACTTAT